CAGGGAGCCGCCCGCGATGGCAGCGCGAGCTCCCGCGGGAGGCCGGGCAGGAGCAGCAGCCCCGGCCGAAACCGCGGCACCCGCCCGCTGCTGCCAGCGCAGCGCCCTCGCCAGCCGGTGCACAACGCACCGGAATGGGGAAAACACGTAGCGATGCGCTCCGGGGGACAAATGTGCATCCCCATCGGTTTCGGCAATTTTAATTTAAAACATCATTTTAACTTCCGATTAATTCCCTCTTATTAACAGCAATGACAAGAGGCACCCAGGCTACTATCCAGTACTTCCTGCAATTAAGATGGTTGAAAGACTTTGTACAAAGGCTCAGTTTAATATGAAGTTCGGTGTCTGTATGAAATGAAGGGCGTATCATCTGTTCCAATATTGTTTAACTTTTCTTCTCCTTTTTTTTTGAGAAACTCTTAAATTATTAAATTCAGGGTTATCCTAAAGACTTTTCAAAATATTTGAAGATGATAAAAATATCTCCTCTACTTCATATTATAATGGTGAAGTAAAGCAAGAAGCTAAGACAGTAGCACGGAGGGTTTTTTTAAGTTATTTTTTATTGAAAAACTAGAAACTGATGGTTTAACTTTGCAACTTTTTAGCAGATTGACTTCACCTGCTGTTGATAACTGTGCACACAGAAATCACCCACTATGGTTTGTGGGTTAACTGAGCTGCTGATACATTATGCCATACAAGAAAATATATGTCCTAGTAGAAAAACAAAAAACATATTAGACTATTTTAAAACTGTAATGCAAACAATTTTGGAAGATGCAGTGTAAATACAACCATCACCAACATCTTCAACTGACAAGGATGTTTTCGCATAAATCTTGAAATATCAAGTGATGTTTCAGTATCAGTGATGGCCAAGTCCATATCCAAATATTCAGGTCAAGGGAAAATACTGGAAGCTACAGTCATTCTTATTAAGAAAAGTTTATCAAATACAACCATATATATTATTGCTTATTCACATCTTTTTGGACAGCCTTTTCAAAATACTAACCAGCACTGCTATTACCCATTCAAAGCAATGGCAAATATTTTCAACTTTCTTACTTGTTTCTTTAGTGTTATATCATTTACATGCACAAAATTTAGGAAAAAAAAAGTTTAGTGCCAATAATTTTATATTTAAAGCAGTTTAATGATAGGAAAAAATATATATATATAATCCAGATATATACACACACACAATTTATCTGTAGCTGGTATTGATTTCTGAAATACCTTATTAGGTAAGAGGGGGAAAAATCCCATTAGGAAACCCTAAATCTGTGTTGTTGTGAATAGAGTGAATTTAATGTAGTAAAAGGTAGAAGCTTCATCAGTGCTTGTACATTTAAAAGACACTATCAAGGTTCTCCTTTGTTCTTGCACTGTAGCATTCAAATATTACACCCTTTTCTTGCCCACTTTATAAGTTTCCTCTCCTGAATTTATACAGTTGAGTGACTGCCCTGGGAAGAAACGTTTTTCCTGACGCACACAGGAAAAAAAAAAAAGATTTGCTAAGTATATTAGAAAACTTACATGTATTTTATTTTGAAAATCTGGAAATAGGGAAGAGCTGAAATTTGCAGGTTAAATACTAAAGCATCCTTTCAATATTTGAATTCATATAGTGCAGGTTAAAAAAGTTTTATAATAAAACAGCTCATACTTTCAGGATGCAAATTTGGACACAAGAAATTTATCCATTTGCAAGTATACCAAGCCTGGGCTTGTTGAAATGTATTAAGTATTAGACTTATTTGATGAACTGATTGTTATGTGTAGGTGGAGAGTGCATATATTCATATCCCCTGTTGTAGTGTTTTTAATGATTTATGAGTAGCTGTGAACATTCTGAACAATTGTTTGCTTAATATAAGATAGCAATGGCTTATCAAATGAGCAATAACTAATTTCACACTGCAAAGCCTGCAAAATAACATGTAAAAGTACATTTAAACTGAAATATATATATGACACACTACTTTTGCTTGTTAAAAAATATTTGGATGGCACAAGGAGCCCAAGTGCAGGAAAGCAAGCCAGTGTCATAAAGCAGATGAGTTTCAAACTCCTAAGTTTTAACATTTAAAAAATTCACATAAATGACAGCAGCACCGCGCAATAATTGAGTTCAAGCATGACTGCAGTCTGATTGTAAACACTTCTCCCTGCCCTCACTGCAAAAGTATAAAAGCAGTTTACAGAATCATATTTGGAGAACTTCAATTCTGTAAGATAACCAACACAACTATCACTCACACCCCTTTCTCCTCCGATTTCTATAGGCGGGAAAAACACGAATGATGTCCTATGGACCATTCACTATGAGCAAAAAAGAAAGTCAAGTCTGTTGGATGAGTAAGATTTAATGTTGCTTCAAATACTCTTTTTTTTTTTAATTGCAGTGTAATTATGCTTATTTTAAATAGACTTTATCCTACAGTTACAACGGGAAAAAATCCTTTAGCTTCACTGAATGGGTAACACTAGTAACAGACTCCAACTTGGTAAATACCTTTGGGTTTCCTAGGTCAGCCAAACTGAGAAGTGCTTATTAATAAAAGAAGGCACACTGAGAAAGCGAGATCACCGTTTTATTGACAGCTTCTTGGCAGGTCCACGCGTCTCAAACTTTAGATCTGGGCTATGAAGTGTGCACTGTCAACAGATAAAATTAGTCCTTTCCTTTGGTGCAAGTAACACATACAGCATAAAACATTAGATCTGGACAGACGAAGCAGTTTCACCTACTTGAGTGAATTTGTCATTTCTCCAAATCCATCTGGTATTTGGAGAATGGCACAAAATGGCATGGAATACAGTTAGCCCTGTAATTGATTCATATGGTTGTGACGGAGAATCACAGAATGAATCACAGAATGCCTAAGGTTGGAAGGGATCTCTAGAGATCATCTAGTCCAAACCCCCTGCACAATGAGGCACTCTGTTACTTTATATTCCTTATATATTAAAAAACACTTGGTTGATGGAGTAATTTGAAAAAAGAAATGATGTGAAAATTCAATGCAGACTTCAGTGTTTTATCATTATAAAAAACATGTAATTGTCACTGACTTATATTTAATATGGTTCAACTTTTATTTTTTTTTAGATACAGGAATGCTGTAATATATAGCTATCTAAATGGTAAATTTTTATGATACTCTTGTAACAGAGGATAAGGTACCAAATTCCAAGTATTAATACCAAATAAGTCATAAAAGACTTAAAAGTAAGTCTTAAAAAGCTTTGCCAACATACACCTGCTTATAGAAAGGAGAATCTTATTTCAAAAGTAAGTTTATGGCACAACGAAAGAAGAGAAATTAAAGTTGCAAGCAATTTCCAGACAAGCAAAAAGACGATTCAGTGCTTTACAGATTCCTTCTCCACTTTCAGCTATCTGTAAATTTCAAACTGAAAGTAGAAATTATCCTGAAAAATGCAGCATTTCAAAATGGCATATGCATACATATATATATATTTAAGCCATAGCTTGGCTTTATTATTTTGATACATTATTTAACATGAGACATTACAGAAGATTAATTATGTGCATAACAGTATCAAGAGTGATTAAAAATAATGCTGTCCCCATGGCAAAATCTGTATCAACTTCCCATACAAGTGGTTCTGCTCACATCAGTGGAAATGCAGCACACACGTAAGGAAAACAGAATTTAGCCCATTTACTATAATAATATTCTAAGCCATCAAGAAATCATTGCTGTAAACAAAACTTTAGTTAGAGGTAAAAGCCCTTTCACATACAGTACTACTCAATGCTGAATTTATGTTTCCCTCTACCCTTCAGTTAATCATTATTTAAATGGTTACAACTGTACAACGACATAATTTTAGGATATTTTGATAAAGAATTTGGGGGTTATTATTTAGAAAGATTATTCTTAGAATGCCTATACTTTTTATGCATTAAGTGGAGTAAACTGGACCTATAAAATATTCCCATATACCTTATATGTAAACAGAATTCATTTTTCAAGCACCATTTAGGATAATTAAATGCATTTGAATTGCTGCACTAGAGTTGAATGTCAAGTTTGGTCACCCTATTACACATTCATCCTGGATATCCAAGTAATTGTCTTACAACCAGTAGAACAAGCTAGCTCCCACACTTTGCTCCCATACTATTTTCCTCAGAATCAGAAATAGCATGATCAAAAAAAAAAAAAAGTTAAGGTGCATGTATAAAGGCCATTCCTGAAAAAGCTGCAACACTGACAGACACCCATAAAAAGCATTTCAGAAAGTACATCCACACAAATATAAATACTCAGTCTTAAAAGAGTTACTTGTACAGGGATCATTTCAAATTGCCGGAATGCACCTCGTGTGTGGCACTGATTTTACAGTTTATGGCACCTAAACCTTACAGTTCTCCTTTCTCCCAGACTCAGTTACAGCTTTATCACTGAGAGGCCAGAATGAAGGACTGAGTATAAATAAAGGAGAGTAAAAAGAAAAAAATAAAACCTCCAGAAACAAAAAGAAACCCAAACCAGAAAGAACTGTTAACTCAACTGATTACATACTACCAATGACGGCAGAGCCAATGGCATAAAAAATGCCGCCCAAAGACAAAAAAGGGAAAAAAGCAAGAACCTACTCCCAAAGATCAATCTAAAGAGTTAGTACTTTAGTAAAGTTCCAAGTAAAGACTTGGGACTGAAAGTAAAAGGCAGGAACTCTTACAATGCCAAAGTCATTAAAAGATTCAGGAGTAACAACAATACACTGGAGTTTCCCTTGAATAGTCAAGCACTAAAGTCATGTTTCAGGGTTCAGGTTTCTTCTACAGAGTAGGTTATTTCAGAACTGGATAGCAAGACCAAAATATTGATGTTATCAAAATGCGCCAGAAGAGAAAAAAGAATAAAAAAAAACCAAAAAACAAACAAACAAACAAAACAAAAAACGGTTAATATACAGAATTCTTTTCCCATCTAAAAAATGTGGATTTTTCCCCCAAAAGGAGCGATTTATAAGTAACATGATTTGCATTTTTGCATAAATGAAAATCACTTGAATTTCTTCCATTTACATACTTGGTGTAGAATTCTTCAAAATAATTTAAACTTGCTTCTTAGTTGCAAGTTACAGCTACCAGCTTTTTACATATATCTAGCGCTGTTCATGTGAACAGTTACTCTTGTGAACAGATGTTCTGTAGTACAAGTGCTTTCGTTTTCTAGGACAGTGCCATCATCTTGGTTTTTGCTGTTTCCTCTAAACCTCTGA